ATCTGTTAGCTTAAAATTTTGAGTTTACTTGAGGAAGGGGAAGACAAGACTATAATACATGCTAAACCTATCCACCATACCGCCGTTATAGCAGCGTGCCCCTTGTAGCCTAAATAACACGACCAGCTACACAGAACTTGCACCTACCTCATTGATTCGAGGCCTTGTCATCTCAAGCTATGAGAGTCCGTCCCGTTGGTGTGAATGTATCCGTTTGTTTCAAGACGGTCAAAGGAGGTCACATCGCTGAAGTGGTACTAGACGATCCTATGGCGACTAGTACTCGTTTCGTATTGTATGCTTTCTCGAACTCGTGACCATAGCCCCTAAACTCATGTGCCACGCCGCTTAGCGGCCGCTTAGCCCCTGGATGCATGCCATCAACATCGCTCCCAGCTCCTCAATAGCTTTCGAACCCGGCCTGCACTGTCGGTTGCGAGCCTCCGTGGACGACTGAGATTGAAGAATCTGACTCTCAGAAGAAGACAACCTTTTCGCCGACTTTATCATCTCTGATATTCGACCTGTATAGCGCTCTAACTCACCATTATCAAAACAATATTGATCTGGAGTACGAGAATCGGGCAGCATTCTCCTTGTGTTGGAAGATGGTGAGAACGAGGTACATAATACCGATCCGCGCTGGTCGTACGAGAGCTTTGCAACCATCCTTAGCTGCTGAAGACAAGGGTCACGCAAGGATGGCTTGCTTACACGACGGTTAGAAGACAGGATTTGGGGTCACGTACGGGAGAAACGCTTGGGCGGCCGCAAAATCCTTTAGCCAAGAAAATATTGCTGAGAAACTTTGTTCTACAGGTCTATAGAGTAGTCTACTAAGTTATCTTGTGATAATAGCTATTGTGTGTGGATCTACAGCCTCAATTTTGTGTAGCTCGTTTTGGTGATGCGCGTGCATTGACTGCCGGCGTGCATTGGGTGCGTGGACACGCTAACCCATCGGAGCTTTCCTGCGGCCGGTTAACGTGGAAGAGACGGCAGGAACTCTCGAATGCCCAACTTGCCAGCCTGCGGAATAACCCTTGCTGTCTCCATTTTCTCACAGAGCTTAGGAGAACGCAGGCCAAAGTGCGTCTTCCTCGGGAAAGTGGAATGGCGGCCGACCTTGAGCAGCTAGGGGGAGAGACGGCACAGTCCGCAACAAGCAATTCAATCTGGGCTCTGTCAGAGACCCACTTACCTATCTAGGCAGCAGTTGAATTTATATAGGGAATTGCTAGGCCTAAAGAGGTAATCAATCAATTCAATCTGAACCTTCTAGAACCCACTTAACCGATTGTTGTGAAGTCTAAAAGACGGTACTGTATTGCTGTATACTGCACCAAGCAATGTCTCAAACTAAAGAACCGGAACACACTGTCTCTCTGTTCGAGTATGCCTAGCTGGTCCTGATCGGGAACTCACGCTTTCGACGGGGTTCTATAAATAGACGTAATCCAGTCTTAACCGCATGGCTTCGTTTCCGGCTCCTAGGAACAAACGGGCAGCAAACGATCCAGAATAGGCTCAACCACCTTCATTATAAAGAGCGGTGCTGCAGGGAGGGTCCTCTTTTGCCAGAGCGTATCCTGCTAACAAGAAAGCGATCTGCTAATAGTGTTGCCGCCGTTCCGCGATCGAAGCCAGGGACGGCAGCCAAAACGTCATCCACATCAACACACGTCCATCAGCACCATAACAGAGGGCATCTGCGCAAGCTTTGAAAAGAAACTGTTAACTACCCAAAGCAAGACAGTACAGTAGGTAACTAGCGAGGTGGGCACATTCCCGTCGGGGCAGTGTCACTAATTTCGCGGAGTGACAGACGCGGAGAGAGAGGTGGCTCCTTGGGGGGCAAGGTGGCTTGAGTGTTCAGGTAGATTTCCTGCAGGGAAACTGCATTAGGAACGGGGTGGTACTACCCTGTCCGTGCGCGTGATGCGCGGATTCGCGTGATGCGCCGAACCACCAAAACACTATAATCATTACAGCCACACAACAACACAACGCAATGGGATTTAAAGAAGCGCTTGCAGAGTGTAATACTTTTGCATCTGAAGATGAGATTCCGTGGTCTAAAATAGCACAAAAGCATAGTGTTGTGCGGTCAACGTTGACGCGCACGTGGAGGGGTAAGACGCGTCCGCATCAAGAGAAGGTTCTTGCACAGCAGAAGCTCACCCAACAACAAGAGGAGGAGCTTGTAAAGTATATAGAGGAGCTTACTGCCCGTCATATACCTCCTACAAGAGAGATGATCGCCAATTTCGCGTCAGCAGTCGTCCAGGAGCCAGTAAGCGAGAGCTGGGTTACGCGCTTCATCAACAAGTACTCGATCGATCTTATCTCTCGATACTCAACGGGTATGGACGCCAATCGCCACAACGCTGATTCCTACACAAAGTACGAGCTGTACTTTAACTTGCTACAGCGTAAGATCGCTGAGTATAAGGTTGACGCTGAGCGCACGTACAATATGGATGAGAAGGGCTTTATGATAGGAGTCACCTCAAGAACAAAGCATGTGTTCAGCAGGCGTATGTGGGAGAAGAAGGAGGTCAAAGCATCACGTCAAGATGGCAATCGTGCCTAGGTAACGCTCATAGCGTGTGTGTGTGGCGATGGATCAGCTCTGCCCCCTGGCCTCCTCTACGAGTCCGCCAATAACACCATCCAATCACGCTGGGTAGAGGAAATCAGGCCAGAGGTACACTCTGTGCTTGTTTCCTCGTCACCTACAGGCTGGACAAATAATAAGCTAGGCCTTGCTTGGCTTAAACAGGTCTTTGATCGCTTCTCTAAGGCTAAAGCTCGAAGAAAGTACCGCCTCCTAATCCTTGACGGCCACGGTTCTCATGTAACGATGGACTTTATCAACTACTGCGATCAGAACAAGATACTCTTGGCTATCCTCCCCCCTCATTCAACCCACACGCTACAGCCGCTTGATGTAGTAATGTTTAAGCCTCTGTCAACTGCGTACTCAAAGGAGCTCACTACACACCTTCACAGCGGCCAGGGGCTGTCAGTAATTAAGAAGAGCGACTTCTTCCACCTATTCTGGAAGGCCTGGGTGAGCACGTTTACTCAGGGGCTGATACTTAGATCCTTTGAGACAACGGGTATATCACCCCTCCAGCCCAACGTCATCCTCCAACGCTTTGCTAAGGATACCCCTGAGGCCTCTGACAGCAGCACAAGCTCTTCTTCAGTCTATTCTGGCAAGGATTGGCTTAAAATAGAGACTCTGTTGCGGAAAGTAGTAAGGGGGGAGAGCAGTAAGGAGCTGAGGAAGATTAGCCGCTCGCTCCACCACATCTCAGTTCAAAACTCGCTCCTTCACCACGAGAACCAGAGCCTTAAAGAGGTTCTTAAGACTCAGAAGAAGCATAAAAACAAGAGCAAAGCTCTTCAATTCCAGCCTCACAAGGACTATCACGGTGGAGCTGAGTTCTTCTCTCCTAGCAGAGTAGAGAAAGCACGCACTGACGAGAGGACTAAGCAACAAAACCAGAGGGCAGAAGAACTCAGAAAGGCGGAGATGGCGAAGCTTAGGCACGCTAATAAGCTGTACAATGAGAAGATTGCCCTGGAGAGGCGTGAGCAGAGGGCAAGGGAGAAGGAGGAGCGTGACCGAGTCAAAGCTGAGAAGGCCAAGGAAGCAGCCGAACGCAAGGCTCAAAGAGAGCATAATAAGCAAGCTCGCAATGCTGAAAAAGATGTGCAATTGCCCCAAAGAGGCAAACGCAAGGCCTCACAGTCTGTAGGACCAAGAAAGAAGCAGAGTTGTGGTGCAGTGGCTGCGCGGCGTAGTGTTGTTGCTGCAGAGCCTCCTGCTGCACCTCGCACCCACACCACGCGCAGCGGCCGAATAGCAACTCTACATAATTAATATATATGAGAGAATATTGTCGCATAGGCTTATAGAACAGTCCACTAGTATTTCCTATAATAATACCTATTGTATGTGGCTGTAAAGCCTCATTTTTGCAGGTGCTTGTTTTGGTGGTTCGGCGCATCACGCGAATCCGCGCATCACGCGCACGGACAGGGTAACGTCCCCTGCCCGTAAGCGAGAAATGCCCCTCAGCGAGATGAACCGACCCTCCAGACGACTCAATCTTTTCCACCCACATCTATAACTTAGACCCGTACTCAATGCTACCCTGTCCTTTAGACACATCTCTTTCGCCTTCCTTATTGCAGCAGGAAAAATACAGTCGTTGTGGTTATGCCGGCAATGAAATCGCACGCAGCACTAAAAACTACTTCGCCTTCTTGCTCTGCTCTGTTACTACTGTTAGCACTCCTTCCGCTTCTATAATGCTAAAACGACAGGTCTAGCCTAGACGCGCATTACCCTAGGCTACTAAGGCGAACAGGCGTTGAAAGTGTGTAATCCGAGGCTATCTCCGTGTTAAGGACATCTGCCCTTAGCGCTGTGCGTTTTTGGAGCGGGCCCTAGTCTAATTATGTAATAGACTAAACACTAGCAGGCTGGCGTAATTTGTCCCCCGTTTTTGAGATTTGTCCCCCGCCGAAGTACCGGAAATGGCAACTTTTGCGCTCCGCATTGCAACTCCACTGCATCTCTAAGTGTAATTTTTATCTTTGAAGCTTAGAATACGTTTTGCACACACTAAAGTACTCCTCGCCTGCATTTTGTAACTTCTGACAGCGATGGGAACGAGCTAGATGGAGTTGAAGTTGGCGATGTCTTCGAAAATGTTACCAACTTTAACACGCAATTGAACCACAACACAGGCTGAACTTTAGCTTTAAATTCTTAGGGAAGCTTTAGGAGGCTCTAGAGTAATTTATGACGTTTAAAACCCTACTTACAATTTTGCTGGTGTTAAGTTGTGTGGATGCAAAGCAATTCGGTACTTCGGCGGGGGACAAATCTCAAAAACGGGGGGACAAATCACGCCAGCCGCGTCGTAGATAGAGTTAGGTCTTCAGCTCGCCACAAACTTACCAACCAATCAATCTTTGAGCTTGAGAACGAATTAGTACAAAAGCCCTTGTGCGGACCGGGTGCAGACCCACCCCCAGCAAACACATCGATATGTCATCGCAAATTCCCTTGCTCGATATGTCACCAAGCCACCTCGTTTCCCGTCCAATCCGGAGTGAACGTAGCTTCTTTTCACGCTTTAATCCTTCCAAGCACTTCAAGCTTTATAAATTTAACGTCTTTTCCAAGCCACCTCTTTATCTTCATTGTTTCTTTCCAAAAAAAAGGGTTTCTAAAGCTTCTCCTTCCAACCAAAGTGTTCTTGATAATAAGCCAATCTCCAGTTAGCCCCTCTTCCCTCCTATCGGCTACACTCGCAATCTTGCAAGCCACCCACGCCCCGGAGTTCGTCATCCAGTATACATTGCCAACCCGAACCGTCAGGCAAGATGGGGCTTTTCACAATGACAAAAAAACGGCGTCTCGTATTAACGATCGTTATATCCGCGGCCTTCTTCTTGACCGAATTGATCGGTAGGTCTCACCCAGTCCCTAAGAGAACATACGATAAACTCGGACGCTAGTTGGTTTTATGACTCGGTCGTTGGCTTTGATCGCCGATGCTATTCACTACGTATGTATTGAGAGGTTCCTTCCCCTTGTGTATGGCGCCAGAGGATGGGACGCTAAGTTGAACATCACAAAAGTTAAACGATTTAATCAGCTTCATCGTTGCCCTGGTTGCCCTACTGGTAGGTACATATCTCGCACCTTCGTTGACACGTAGAAGAGCAATATTTGATTCGTATAGATCTCCGAACGCGATAGCTCGCCTCAAGCACTGAGCTTTGGTTGGCAGCGTGCCCAACTTCTTGGTTCCTTCTTCAATGGAGTCTTCCTCTTGGCTCTTGGAGTCGGTCTTGTCTTTACGTCTATCGAGCGCTTCATCGAAATACAAGGTAAGTCTGAGCATGGCGATGTCGATTGAGTTCTGTCGCTGACCATGAGTTCTTATCTTACAGAGGTTAAGAATCCGGTCCTGGTCCTCATTGTTGCTTGCGTCGGCTTGGGTCTCAACGTCCTTGTCCTTAGCTTCCTCCATGGTAAGTTGGCACCACTCTAGATCGTGCATGAACCTGGATATCTAATGACAGACCACGATCACGGCGGCCACGGCCACGATCACGACCACGGTCACAGCCACGAAAGCAGCGAAGAGCATGGTGAAGGTGGTCGCAAGAGCGACAAGGCATCTATGCAGGTTAGTTTCGCTAAGCTAATACACCCTTTGCATATTACTCTTTTGACAATATACTAACATTGTTCCGCAGCATTTACAGCCGCTTAGCGGTCATTTGGAGCACCGCCATAACACTTTCAAACCTGCCAAGGCTGGTCGGGATCTTGGAATGCTCGCCGTGCTTATTCATGTCATCGGCGACGCTATCAACAACCTTGGCGTAATAGTAGTTGCCATCGCCATCTGGAAGGCCAACTCTCACAATCGTTTCTATGCCGATCCAGCCATCAGTCTTTTCATTGCGTTCATGCTCATCTTCACTTCAGTTCCGGTCACCAAGAAGAGTGGCCACATCCTTCTGGAGAGTGCCCCTAATGGGATCGTTGTCGAAGACGTCAGGCATGACATTGAAAATGCAAGTACACCCGTCTTACTTTAGTGAATAGAAAACACGGTGCTGACTTTTCAGGTCACGGGAGTTGAATCTGCTCATGAGCTCCACATCTGGAGACTGAATCAAGAGGTATCCATAGCCTCAGCCCACGTAGTGGTGTCTGATGACAGCATCTCTTCCTTCATGGACAAGGCGAAGACCATTGGCGAATGCCTACATGCTTACAACATTCACTCCGTCACACTGCAGCCAGAACTCATTCACAAAATCCCGCCTTCAGCTATTGGCAACGGTCCAACGCATCAGCTGGACCCATTGGCCGCTTCGTCTGCTGCGACCACAAATGACAAGAAACTAGCTCGCGTTGACCCGTCGCTTAAGCAGCGCACTCTGGCCCAAGGATGCCAGGTCAACTGCGGGAGTGTCTGTGAACGGTACACGTGTTGCAATTAAACACATTGCCTTTAGACAACATGTAATAAGGGTCTGACGTGTTCCACAAGTGACCAATGCGGTATACAAAAGTCACAGCACTTCAAACTACCATAACACTATCAAGTTTTGCTGTCTTTTATATATACTGTTTTTGTTAATTATAGAACACGATGTATGTTCCTTTTACGTGTCTGCGTATTGTGCCTAGGCTTGCTGCGTCACCTACACCACTGCCGCCTCCATTAGAGATCTACCTGGTTGGACTCAGCATTAGCGAACCTTACGTCAATCAAGCTTCTTCGACTCGGTATCCTTTGATGTTGGCGCGTTCCAGTAGTATATAACCTGCAGGGAGAGCACGGCATTAAACGCGAAGCCCGCGATGAAGCCGTAGAGGAGGAGTGGGTCGTCGACTTCTTGAAGCGTAGTGAAGATGCGGGAGAGGGAGCCGAGGGGGTAGTTGACAACCTGTCAGACATGGTGTTAGTGTGATGTTCTTGAGCAAACAAACTCCATGTATCACCAATGGAAAGGGGGCGTGGCTTACAGCAAAAGCGCTCAGCTGCCCTGTCCCACCCTCAGACCAAATCGTCAAGATCTGAGGCACCTTGCTCGCGACGCTCAACACGCCCGCCGTCGCCTGCAAGAAACTTAGACGCTCATTATCGACCCAACCCTCGTTAAACAGCGCCGCGCCCGCCGCAATCAGGCCACCAAGCCATCCCGCAATTCCAACCAAATTCCCACTGTATTTCAGCACCAAACACGCGATCGCGATATTTTGCACCAGGATAAGCGCTGTCTCGCCATACGTGCTGAACGGAAACCCGTGACATTGTACGACAAGCTAATGAGGTAGGCGCCAGACTCCAGGAAGTAGGAGAGGAAGGAGAGGCCTTCTGCGGACTGCGAGTTGATGAGCTTGAGCAGCTGCGGCACCTTCAGGATGCTGGGTGCGCCGACGATGCCGATGTCTAAGCCCTTGCTGATAGCGAGCTTGACGCACTCAGTCGCTGTGAGATCGACATTGTAGACGAGCGTTTTGTAGCAGATGGGGTTGAGGAGAGATTCGCCCAGGTTGGCCACAGGTTTCGGGAGGTTGTGCGTGACGGGTTGGAGAGCTGATCGTAGCGCGTCCATCGTGGAGAGCTGTTTGGTGAAAGGGTATAGTTGGCACTGGTCGAGGTGGAAACTTCGAGAACACGCTCTGGGTCAGCGCTCCGACGCGATGTTGGCGAGGTAGGACGTGCGTTCGGCTGTGCACTAAACCCTAAAACTTTTTAAAAAATACCGAGCTCATTCGTATAGATCGTAGCAAAAGTCAAGTAAAAAGAAATCTCCTCTTAACTTATCTGCTTTGGAAAGGAAAGATGTAACGTCAAGCCAGAATCCTCCCGATCACGCCAATCATGTTCGGGGCTACAGTGCCCGTGCACCCAACGAGCCAGTTCGGCCAACGAGCCACCCTAACATAAACTCGCGATCGTAGAAATGAGGCTGTAGAGCCACCTACAAAAGCGATTATCGCGAGATTTCTTGGTGTATTGATGTATAGATGTACGCGAAACTTTCTATTTTTTTTAAATTTAGCTGGTACCCTAATCTTGTAGCCGCGCGCTGGTTTTAGGTAGAGGAGACGCTAGCGGCGGTGCAGCTTCAACACGACTTGCTGCACTTACAACACGATAACGCTTTGTAAGATTTTTAGTAGCACTGTCTAAGGCTTTTTTGCTTAGCTATATTAAGTATATCGTAAGATTTTTGTGCGGTTGCAGCGTCGCGTTACTACTTTTTAAGCGCCTAGGCTGCAGCTAGTTCTGTTATGGGCGGAAAGAGGCCTGCTAACGAGTATGCATTTGCTCCTATGTACAGAAGAAGAAAGATAAGAGAAGAAAGGTTCTTCTTACGCGTACAACTCGCCTCTTATAGGCCTTATGCTTTACTGCTTTAGTCGGCGCTAAGTCGTACGTCATGTGACTAGAGCAGTCTGCTTAATATGGCGTAGCCTCTTACAATACCCCCCTCCTAAGAATTGTACGTGACGCGTTGTTGTGAGAGAGTGTTTGCGACATGACGTCAGAGTCTGTAGTAAATCCGACTTCCGTACGTGTATATTGATCGTTGTTTGACCGCTCCAACAGTGAATGGGGCCTCTTGTACGGATCTGGCCATCGTCGTTTGACCGCTTCTCGTGGTGAGAGAGGGTTTTGGCGCCCTCTCCTGGGTATATAAGGCTGGCGTCCCTCTCTTAACTGTTTCCTTTCTTATACTAACTTCTCTGCTTCTTGTCAAGACCTCTCGTGCGATATCTCAACAATGGCTGCTCCTGCTCGTGGTATCTGGGCCGCCAATGGTTCCAACCACCTTGCTTTCGCCACTGGCGGTCAGGCCAATAGCTCGTACGCCAACGCTGCGACCGACCTCCAGAACATTGCCCATCGCCTGCTCACTCGCAACTATCCCAACGCTGCGATTGCGGTTGTCAACGTACAAGGCGGTATCAACATGAACGACTACTCTGTCTGGTATATCCTTGACAGGGAGGTTGCTAATGAGCTTCGTCGTGTGCTTGCGATGGCCTCCGTACGTTTCTCTTAACTCCTCTTTTACCTTGCTAACCTTCTGACAGGCTCCTATCCGCCGTGTCGCCGAGTTCTTCCTCCGTCCTGCCCAGAACTCACCGTACGACGCCTATTGGGGTCCAGGCAACAGCGAGTACTCCCCTATCGTCGCTCGCAGCACTATCCATGCTCGCCAAATCCTTACTGGACGCGACTCGTACGTCAAGGCTTTCGTCATCCATACCCGTGGTGTCCTCAACCCTGCCGGCTGCTCCAACAACTGCGCCCATGCCGTACGTGGTGCTAGGGCCTTCACTGCCTTCGCTGGTTGTGTCTCCATTCCTGGAGAGTGGAATGGTGCCTGTTCCAACTGCGTCTGGACTGAGCATGGTGCGCGCTGTGGTCTTGTTGGTCAAGGAGCGCCTAATGGCGGAGGAGGAGCTCTTCCTGGTCCTCGTCCTCGTACGGGTGGTCGGGCGATTCGTGCTCCCTCTGCTGAGGAGGAGTTCGTTGATGCGGACGACTAAGTTTTCGCTGCTGGCGGTTCTGTCTTCTCTGAAGAGAACCAGAGGGCGACCGTACGGCTTGTGTACGAGTCAGCCAGGACTGTAGGGCAGCGGTGTTAGCCAGATTTCTTTCTGGTTCCCATGTAGCTTCTTGAAATCCAACCCATTTCACGAGATATTGCTTAGTTCCTCGACGTGTTCTCTCACTTGTGATGCTCTCTACCTGCCATTCGAGATGTTCCTCTTGTTCGTCTTTGTCTCGTACGACAACTGCTGCAGGGTTTAGATCGTTGGTCTGTTGTGAGGGTAGAGGATCAGTAGCAGCTGGTCTAATCTTATCTACATGGTAGGACTTGGTTTCCCATGGGACAGCTAGTTCTACCCAGTATGGGTCTCGTACGCGTGCCACTTGGTACTTCTCGCTCTTCCAGTCTAGCTTCTTGCTGGCTCTTGTGGTGCGTACGTCTCGTAGGTCGAGCCAAACCCAATCTCCGACTTTGTAAGTAGGGGCAGGTTTCCTAGACTTGTTTGCCTGCCTTTCCTGTTCTTGCTGTGCGTACGACATGGCTGCGATTGCCCACTCTGCGGCGGAGGTGATTGTTTGGACGATGTCTTTAGCCTTCTCATGTGTGAGCTTCTTAGCTGTCTCGCTACTGTCCGCACGTTCCTGTTCTCCCTGTTGGGAGAAGGGCGTGTTGTGGTAACCATGTTGTAGGAAGAAGGGGGAGACACCAGTAGACGTGTTCGTGCGGGAGTTGAGCATTAGCTCGAGGATCGGGCATAGCGTGGCCCAGTTGTCTTGGTCATTGTTGCAAAACACCCGTACGACTACCTCGATATCGCTGTTTGCTCTCTCAGTCGTACCATCAGTCTGTGGGTGGTAGGCTGTAGACAGATTCCTTCTTATGCCTAACAACCTACAGACATCTCCCCACATAGCGCTTGCGAACTGGGGGCCTCTATCAGACGTAATAGAGAGAGGAAGGCTGTGGTGACGGTATACTTCTCGTACGAAGGCCCAGGCTACGTCCTGGCTCTCTATCTTCTGCATAGGTATTAAGATTGCAGCTTTGCTAAGGCGGTCTTTCACTACCATTAGGTTTGACTTCCCTTCTGAAAGGGGGAGCCCTGTAATAAAGTCTACCGTCAAGTGCTGCCACGTACGACTTGGGACTGGCAGAGGGCGGAGGTAACCATGTCTTCCATCTCTCCACGGGGTGCTTTTCCTGCAAAGCTCGCAGTTCCGTACAAAGCGTCTAATATCGTCGCTCATCTTCGGCCAGTACCATTCTCTTGCTACAATCCTGTATGTCTCTTCTCGACCTGGGTGGCCTGTTTGCAAGGATAGGTGGGCTATCTGGATTATGCCTGTACGGAGTGGTTCTGATTCAGGTACCCAGGTTCGTGTTCTCCATGTAAGGCGGTTGTCCGAGTTAATTGCGCAGTCTCCTAGGGACACAGCTATCTTCCTAGTCGTAGACAGTGAGCGTTGCCCCTTCTGTACGGACTGGAGCACTTCTTGATAAAGGTCGTCCTTAGCTACTGCTGTGGCCCAGTGGTTCTGTATCAACTCTTGTTCATTTGGTGGCTGGGGCAGTGTATCCGAGACTATTGGTGTAACTAGGGGGAGTGATGCAGCAACTCGTACGCCGTCTTGTTGGTAAGCTGGAGTTAGCATCACAAACTCTCTGCTTGCGATTCTATCGTCATCCTCGTCCTGTGGCATGTCTTGGTCCCGTCTAGAGAGGGCGTCGGCCCGTACGTTCTCCTTTCCTGGCCTGTACCTAATCTTCATATTCCCAAACCTTGACAGCTCGACTGACCATCGTACGTGGCGCTCTGTCATCTTTTGCTTCTTAGTGAAGTATTCAAGGTTCTTGTGATCCGTGATAACCTCGAATTCTCGTACGCCTCGGAGTTCGGCGTCCCATTCCTTCAAACAGCAGATTACAGCTAGGAGCTCCTTGTCGTGGATTGGGTAGTTGCATTCATGAGCAAGGAACTTGCGTGATAGGTAGGCAACCGTACGAAGTACGCCGTTTGGGCCTCTTTGAGAAAGAGTACCTCCTAGTGCGTGTCCAGAAGAGTCGCATTCTAGAACTGTAGGCAGCTCTGGGTCGAAGGGTACGAGAATCTCGTCAGATAGGAAGGCTTCCTTAATTGTACGGAAGCTTCTCTCTTGCTCTGTTCCCCATACAAACTTAGCGTCCTTGCGTGTAAGTTGGACTAGTGGTTCAGACAGTCGTGCGAAGTGGGGGATGAACTTCCTGTAGAAGTTCGCAAATCCTAGGAATCCTCGTACGCCTTTAACTGTGGTAGGCGAATTCCAGTCTTGGATAGCCTGTACCTTCTCTGGGTCCATAGACACGCCCTTCCCTGCTTCTACAATAAATCCTAAGTATTTTGTACGCTGGACGTCGAATTCACACTTCTTCAACTCTAATTGTAGTCCAGCTGTCTTAAGTCTGTCCAACACCGCCCGTACGTGGCTGTGGTGCTGGGATAGTGGTCCATCCGTGAAGATAATAATGTCATCAAGGTACGCTGAGGCGAATTCATCCAGGAAGTCTCTCAGAACCCAGTTTACGTAGCGCTGGAACGTGCTTGGAGCGTTTGCAAGGCCAAAGGGGGTTACTAGCCATTCGTACGAGCCAAATCTCGTCCGGAAGGCTGTCATCCACTCCTGCCCCTCTGTGATTCTTATCTTGTGGAAGGCAGCTGTTACATCAAGCTTGGTGTACCACTTAGCCCGTCCAATCTGGTGCAGGGTTTCCTTAATAAGAGGCAGTGGGTATCGATCCTTCTTGGTAATAGCATTTAACGCTCTGTAGTCAACACAGAATCGCAACCCGCCGCCTGGCTTCCGTACGAATAGAACTGGTGACGCTGCAGGAGAATTGCTCGCTCGTATGAATCCTTTGTCCAGGAGCTCATGCAGTGTCTTCCGTAGTACTAACAGTTCATCTCTTGACATGCTGTAGAGAGGCCCGTACGGAATCTTTGGGTCTTTGCCATTCTCTTGTTCTAGCTCCAGTTGGTGGTCTACCTCGGGCCCTCGTAAGGGTGGAAGGTC